AGGATAGAACGGAATGATGAGCCAGCCCAGCGAGCTAGCAGCTGATGGGCGGGGGAGCGAGGGAGCTGAGCGCGCCAAAAAAAGTGTGTGTTTTTAAGAACCGTGCGGGACGCGGGAAAATTCATGAAAAGGCGTGGCTGTCCCGCCAAAAGCGGGACGTCTGGTCACCCTAGCTTAGAGAGGGCTGTAAAGCACTGTGAAGCCTTATATAAGTCTAAGTGCTATTGCTAACTATCATCTATCTATCATCTGCCTGTGTCTGTCTGTCCATCCGTCCATCCATTTTCTGTTTATCTACAATATCTATCTATCACTGTTTATTTGTTTCTATCTCTCTGTATTCTCCCGCCCACAAAGAGCTCCGGCGCAGTGGTTAGAATACAGAATTGCAGGCTGATTCTGTCCACTGCCAGGTATTCAATCCTGACCGGCTCAAGGTTGACTTAGCATTCTATCCTTCCAAGATCAATAAAATGGGGACCCAGATTGTTGGGGGCAATATGTTGACTCTGTAAACTGCTTAGAGAGGACTGTAAAGGACTGTTAACAGAAGTGGGTTGCTACTGGTTCACACCAGTTTGGGTGCACTGGTAGGGGAAATTGGGCATGGGTTGCCGAACCAGTAGGGATGGCAGGCTGGCCCAGCCCCCGAACTGGTTCCCCGGTCACCCATGCCTTTGCCAGAATGTATTTTAGTCATTTTTTTTAATGTGCTGAGCATGCGCAGAACATTTATAGGCAATTGTGCAGGTGCAAGCAACATATGGTGCACGCAAAGTGAACTGGCAGTAACACCAACAGCAACACACCCCTGACTGTTAAGAAGTATATGTCTAAATGCTATTGCTCTTTAGAGTTATAGTACGCATACATTGATTGACATATAAATCAAATCAATTATTACATACATAGTAAGTCACATACTCCTGATGGAAAAGAGTAAAACTACCTTTTATTTCATCTTTGGCTTCTTTGTGAGCTTTGTGTCTAGTCCATACTCTGTACAATGGAGCCCCCTTACCTGTGGGACCTTGTAGATGCTGAAGATGGAGGCTATCAGCCTTGAGGATTTGGAGCTGAGACCTCCAATGATGGAGAGCAGAATGTCCTGCCTGTCACATGTATAACCTGGAGCCATTTGGCCTCTTGTGGAGAGCAGGGACAAGCTGCTTAAGGAGATATTCCTTTCAGTCTGGTGATTGTCATAGATGTGGAAGCCAAGGGTGATGTTGGGCAGGAGAATCAAATCTTCATTGACTTCCTTAACTGCAAACATCAATGCAAGGAACTGCTGGTAGTTCTTGAATATGACTCTACAGTGAGAAAAAACATTGGGGAACACTGCAGGAAATTTTGTATGTGTTGGTGGAGTTTGCCTTTCCTTTTAGAGAACTTTTGGAGCAGCAACTCTCAAGTTACTTTGGGTTTGCATTTTTTCCATGATTTTCCATGATTAAACTTGGATGGATTGTAAGAAAGGAGAAAAGCCCTTCCATCCATATCATGATTGTTTTATACCCCTCTATCATCCCTCCCATCTTCAATTTGCTCCAGTGGCTGTAATCCTTCCCAATTGCAATTCTTTCACCCCACTAACTGAGGATCTTTCTTGGAGAAGCTTCTTTATGTATGGTAAACATTGCTGATACCAGGACTACCGGGGGAGGGGGGGGGGTCACCTCAAAGATTTAATGTAGGGCATTATTCATGAGCAATGCAGATTCCAAAATGGAGAGAGATTTTTTTTACAATTCCTAAACCCTGGGAAAAGATTGAGCTTTTATTTGAGTTTCCCACCCTGACTTAAAATAATATTGTAATTCAACTTCCTCACTAGGCCAGCACCATTTCTAATGTGTTGTACCTGTTTACATTTGTTGTTCTTAATCATCTTCCTGATGAAGAATTCTGGAATGATTGAGAATTCCAACCTCTTTCAAGAGCTTGGTACTTTATTGAGAAAAGCAGAAAATGTGAACTACTCTAGGACACTGCAAAACACCAGAAGAAATGTTTCGGAAAGGAGTTCCTGAGTTTAAGACAAACTGAACCTACATATTTCTACATATTTCCTCTCCAGATGAAACTTACGCAAATCGTATAGAAAGCATGAATGGGTCGTTTTGAAAATCTGGGACTTTGGATGAAATGATGGTTCTCAGAGGCAAATTCCCAGCAATAATGAGAGCACCAGGCCTATGGTAGCTTTTCTGTGGTTGGAAATACTTCCTCAACACACATCTGGTTTGCATCTTCTTTGCAGAGGTTGGAGGCAGGAGCCCGAAGTTCAGCAGCAGCAGGAGAGGCAGCCCAGTCATTCTTGCCACCTTCCCCCTAGATCGGAAAACAAGGGTTCTGCAGCAGCTGAATTGCAGGTAGCTCTTGAAATCTCACAAAAGCTTTTAGCACAGTAGACACCACCCATGCCACTTGGATGGCAACAGGGCAAATTTATATCCACAGTGCTTTCTCTTACCTGTCCTTGGGCTGTGACCAAAGAAGAAAACAAAGCATGTGAGTCTCCTTCAAATCCAGGAGTTAGCCCCCTGCAGGATAAGATAAAGTGATATATCCTGCTCCCTCCTGGAAAACTCAGAAATATTTCTTAAAGCAAGTTTTATCTTGGAAGATTTGTGTAGAAATCCACAGGGAATACATTAAGAATTACTATTCTTCTGATGACTGCAATTGTCCTACTCTCTTAGTGATAGCTTCTCTTTATACTTCAGAATGGAAAACATGTTTGTGTCTCCTTGTTGTCATCCACAGAGCAGATGAACCTATAATATATTCTTAGTATACAAGGAAAGATATGACATCATTGCCTTTAGTGAAACTTCTTGGGATGAAATCCATGATTGGACCATAGAACCTGAGGGATTTAAGCTGTTCAAGAAATAGTTCTATTCCATCCCTGTGTTGATTATCTCATCCTTGGATTCACATAAAGAATTGTTAAATGATCCAACACTGGAAGTTTTTAAGAAGAGACTGGATAACCATTTGTCTAAAATGATATAGGATTTCCTGCCTAAGCAGGGAGTTGGACTAGAAGACCTCCAAGGTCTCTTCCAACTCTATTATTCTATTCTATTCTATTTTATTCTATTCTATTCTACTCTATTCCATAGTGAGATTCATTTTTTTTTACTACTGGTTGTGTGGGAGTGGCTTGGTGGGCGTGGCTGGGGAAGGTTACTGCAAAATCCCCATTTCCTCCTGATCAGCTGGGACTCAGGAGGCAGAAAATAGATGGGGGTGGGCCAGTCAGAGGTGGTATTTACCAGCTCTCCGAACTACTCAAAATTTCCACTACCGGTTCTCCAGAATAGGTCAGAACCTGCTGAATTCCATTCCATTCCATGTTTATATTCCCTTACATTTTCATGCAGTCCCTTTCTTAATGNAATATGCTGACTCTGTAAACCGCTTAGAGAGGGCTGAAAGCCCTATGAAGTGGTATATAAGTCTAACTGCTATTGCTATTGCTATTGCTATTCTCTTGTTGCCCTGAACAGGAGAATGGAGCTGAAAAGCAGGTTGGGGGGTGGGGAGGGAATGGGGATTTTGCAGTATCCTTCCCCTGCCATACCCTCAAAGACACGCCCACAGAACCGATAGTAAAAAAAAATTGAATCCCACCACTGATCTGTACCCTCAATACAGAAAACTGATGAAATTCAGACAAAGGATTAAGACCGCTTTCAGTGCTGCTCTGTGTGCCAGGACTGACAAAGTCTTACTACATTCACACAAAAACCTGGGCAGTACAACAAATGGGAATCTAAACAAATAGGGTGGAGTGATGTAGGATGCTAAGTCATAGAAACATAAACAAAGGTTAAAATGAACGTCTTTTTACAAGTTGGATTTCAGGGCAACATACTGAGGAGACCTGAGGTTGTTCTGAAAATATGTCAACTAGAACTTCTACTGACTTCTTGAAGCATCTTTCTCAAACACAGCCAGATTATTGTTTTAGTATTGTCTGACATTCACTCCCTGTAATGATGACCCTCTTGAGTAACCATTGAAGAATTTTCTGGATTTTGTGACTTCTATCAGTCTTACAGACAACTGATTTGGTTTATCCCCCCCCTTACCATCTTTCAACAAAATATTATACTTAATTCATATTATTTTTAAGAATAATTGCTATGTTAATATGTTTTGAGATGCGTTGACATGGTAGCATACAGACATTTCATCAGTAACTGAAGAAATGCATATGGGGGGTTTCCATTCGAAAGATCTGTGGACTGAGTAAAAAGTTCCAGAAATTACCTGCCATGACTGGACATTTGAGATCCTCTTTCCAAGCCTCATCATTGTTGGTTGAGCTCTGGATTCATACATTGCATGTAGCGCATGGGCTGAAGCATAAACAGCATTGTAGATATTGTAACTTTCACTTGCCATTCTTGTTTCAAAAGTGTAATTTGGCAGATTCTGTAGATTCTCTTTTCCTGTACATTGTTTGTCCCACTTTTGAAGGATCTTTCCTGATTTATCGATCTTGCAGTCAAAGACCTTTTCCCACCATAGAGGGAGAAAGATGTCTCCATGGGGGTTCAAGGGGTCTAAAGACAGGAGGAAATGGCTGAATTCGGAGACATCCCTAGTGTGGTCCCTAAAATGCAAAGCTCCATGGAAAAGCTTTATATATTTCAATTTGTATTGAGACCCCACCAGACTAAGTTTCCAATGGGAAGTTAAGATCCAAACTTTCCGAAATGATACCTTCCTTAATTTTTCATGAATAGACACCACCACCTGTATGCTACTAATACTACTGTAGTCTCCAAACAGAATCATCACTTCAATTTTGCACCACGTTTGGAAAATACGAAATAATTTTGATCTTGCAATAACAATACTATCTACATTCAAGAGTTTAGTGAAGGCCAAGCAAATCTCCTTCTCCTTGAGCATTGGCATCAGCGTTGAAATGAAACGTTCTCCATTGTCATTTTCAGGGGCCACCAGCCCAACCCAGTTCCACTGGAAATACAGGAGCAGCTGGACTAAACCCACATATTGAGAAGACTCCTTGGGGTTAATCCGGAAGAAGGAGGGATAAACTCTTTTGACCCTATGAATAAAATCAAAGCCAACACCAAGCTGGAGAAAGTGAGATTTTTCTATAAAATGCAGAGTAAAGATTTCTATTGATTTTAGATGTCACTATTGTGCAATTGATTTCCCCACCATTCAGGTTTTAGAAGCAAGATTAACCTTTTCCCTTCTTGGGAAGAGCCACCAGTTACATATTTTGACTGGCTATCACATGCCAGAAGGGGAAAGAAGAAACAATCAACCTGATATTGAGAATAAATAGGACTAAAAGGATGGATACCCTTTTATGAAGTATAAACCATGAAGAGAGCATGGCTTGTAAAGCATTTCAAAATTATATTATTAACTATCTCTTTGGTTGAAAGGTTGACTTCACTTCCATCCTTCTGAAGTTGATAAAATGATGACCCAAATTGTTGAATGTAACATGCTGACTCTGTAAACTGCTTAGAGTAAGGTGACCAGATTTTCAGATTGGTAAAGAGGGACACCATTGTGGNACAATTTTGGTGGACCCTGAATAAATCCTCATTTCTGTGAAGGTTCAAACTTGATATGGAATGGAAATGATATTGGTTGCACATTTAGATGAACTTTGGAAGGAGCAGGATAAAGGCAGCACATCCATACTAGCTCAATGTGACTTCTTTAATGTCATCAGCCATCAAGTGTGGGCAGTCAGGAGTCCAGGCAATAGAAATGAAAATAGGCTTACTGTGTGCTAATACTCTCTAGAAGAATCTGATCTACTAACATCACCATTGTCATCATCACTGTTGGCCAGTGGACAGTGGACAGTAAAAAAGATTACATAAGTGACAAAAAAAACTAAAAATAAAAAATTATTACCTACAACTTGCTTTGAGATGATGGAGGAGCTAAATTTAATCTTTAGAAAAAAATGGAACCAGAAAAAAAAAGCAATTGACCTTTTACTCCAATCCACATCAATCCTGGTCACGGATTGATATGGCATGGATGAATGGGGAAATTGGGGCAGAAATACATACTATTGAAATATTACCAAATATGTGGGCAGATCAAAACCCCATTAAAAAAATTTGGGAAGGGGAAAAAACTAGACAAAGATGGATGTTAAATTTGGAAATATTAAAAGAAAAATAATTTATTCAAAAATGTAGAAATGAATTGGTGTTATTCCTTAAGGAAAACACAAAAGAACAGACATGTACACAAAATCTATGGGACATCATAAAAGCTTATTCCCACAGAATTATTATAGCGTATTCAGCAAAAGAAAACAAAAGAGAAATGGGCACAACAGAAGATATTAGAGGAGGAAATTAAAAAATTAGAAATAGAATTACAAAATAAGCCACAGAATGAAAAAATTAGATTGGATGTTAGCAAAACATAAATTAAATACATCAGACCAGGAAGAAATGGTAAGGGGCTAAAACTAACAAAACTAAACTTCTTTGAGCAAGCAAATAAACCGGGGAGGTGGTTGTCACACAGATAGAGACAAGAGAGAGAAAAAAAGATTAACATATCAACTTCAAGAGGAAACTGGGGAACTACAACATACAATAGAAGGGAAGAAAAAGATTGCCTACAAGTACTTTGAGAATCTGTATAAAGGGGAACAAGTAAATGGAAAAGAGGTTTAAGAGGTTTAAGAGGTTTA